GCATGATGTACAGGTCGTAATTTGCCACTTAGAGCATCAATGAAAGCTCTGTTTCGATCTGCACAATAATTCAATATTTGCTTTGTTTGCATTCGTGAATCAGGCGTTTCAAAATGTCTCAAATATTGTTCAGAATCTACTGGCCGGATATTGTTCTTCAGATCTGAAGGGTTGGAACTGATTTATCAAAGTATCTCTTTATGTATTTCAGGTTCCCAGGCAGAAATGTAGCAGGAACACATTTCCTATCCTTTATCAGACGGTATTCTAGGAATGGAAGAAGAGACGATCCGCTTATGTTGCTAAGCAAAGAATTTTTTCATCTACTTACAATATGATTTTGGTGATAACCTTAAATTTGACCATTCCTCTGAACAGAGATCTTTCCAGATACTATGGAACAACTTTAAAACGAGATATTCGACAAGTCGTTTTTTCGTTTCACGATTTTCCCTAACTCAGTGCTATCTGACCATTGCCCGGTTCGTGTCAGTCCTATGTACTTTCAATGGTCGTCGTAGCATTATGCTCTACGGTAGTTCATGTTCTGTGCCATTGAGCGCTTGAAGTTTGAAGAACATGTAATTAACGGTAATTTAATTATGAAGAATTCTTGACCTTGATCAGGAACTGAGTGCGACCTGTCAGAGTACGAATATTTTGCTAAACATCATTCTGACATATCATAGAGATAAAGCTAAGCTTTTTCCTATGCATCGTATCGTCTTCTACTAATATACCACTTAGAAAAGCTTTTCATATATTTGTGCTATTCAACTTTTGAAATATAGGTGGTATGTTCTTATTGATTTTTTCCTCAAATTAGAGCCTGGTGAGAAATGCAAGTTTATCAAGGAACTCGAAGATCAGACAGTTCCAATCGGTGTCAGTCTCGTCCTTGACATCGAAGTTGACAAGGCACCAAAGTCAGTGAAATGGTAATTTTGCAGTGCGTAGAATTTCTGTGATATATGCCTAATCGAAATTCAAAGGTACAAAGCAGGCGATAAAATGCAGCCGAGTGACCGAGTGACCATTGAAAAGCTTTCGGACAGGAAGTATCGCTTGGTGGTCAAGGATGTTCAGCCTGAGGATGCCGGAACTTATCGCGTTGAAGTAGAGGACGAACGCATCACTCTTGAAAGCCAGGCAAAAGTCACAGTTCAAGGTACGGCGTCTGTCGTTGCACCTGCGTTCAGTGCTGTTTTAGAAGTGGCCAAGTCGAAGAAACTGCGCATTGTTAAAGGACTAGAAGATCAAACAGCCAAACTAAACTCCAACGTTGTCCTGCAGCTTGAAGTCGAGGGACTTCCTGAATCCGTGAAATGGTAAATTTAATTTCTTTGTTATGAAAAATGGCACAAAAAAATTCACAGCTTCTTTATTATTGCTTCTGTATTACATTTTATTCATCGTAATTTATTCATGTATCGAATGCATGAAGAACAGTATGTATGCATGAATGCATGAATCATGCTAACTCAACGAAAAAATTGACAGTAGTCTGTGAGCCTAATTCCGTACCACCGTTGATATTTTTTCTACGAGCTTTCGAGAACGAAAGAAGAAACACTTTGAATGTGGCGCTCTATATGTGTAGATTGAATATGTTGGGTTCATATCCATTTATATGCAAACACTTAACTATTATCCAAGAATAAATTTCAAATTTTAGGTACAAGGGAACGGAGAAGATATCCGACAGCAGATTAATCCCGAAAAGGGTTGACGACTCTCATTATATACTGACTATTCACAATTTCGAAATCAGCGATGCCGGCGTTTTCTCAGTTTTTGTATCTGATGGAAAGGTTTCATTAAGTAGTCAAGCGACCGTGACGCCTGAAGGTTGTGACAGCATTATTCTGTTCGTTATTGATCATAAAAAAATTTTTGCAGTACCAGAACCAAAGCTGCTGAAGGTTTTGGAAGATCTTGAGAACGTCGAATCAGAATCCGGAAAGGACGTGTCATTTGTCGTAAAGATTGAAGGCGTGCCAGATACAGTATCTTGGTAAGTGGAAAACGCAGTCGCTTCTTCGTCTCACTATTCGGTTTCTGGCTTCAGGTTCAAGAACGGTGAGAAACTGGAAGACAGCGCCAAATATGCTTACAGACAGACCGACGGGGGTCTGTTTCTTTTGCTCCTATCAAAGGTAGACGAAGACGACGAAGGGGTGTACTCGTTCAAAGCTGAAACCGCAAGTTCTTCCGCTAAATCCCAAGCTTGTCTGAAAATCAAAAAGCCTGGCGAAGAAGAACTCAGACTGGAGGAGGAGTTGAAAATCACCAAAATGTTAGAAAACGCGTCGGTGATCGAAGGCGGAACAATCGATTTCATTGTTCATTTGAACAAGGAACCCAAAGAAATTAAATGGTAAGTAAATGCTATTACAATTATGACACGTGTAATTTCTTTTCTCTGTTTCTCAGGAAGTTTCAGAAGGTTATAGTGGTTCATAAGGGATTAAAAAGGAATGCTAAGCAAAACGTATGTCCTGCAGTGGGACCGCTGTTGTAACAATTCCATCAAGGCCTCTGTCAATTGTAAGAACGATGTTAGATTCCATTGAAGGTGCATAATTATTGAGGTCAGACGATATCTACTGTCAACATGCGTTCTTTACAAACGGAATAATAAGCGATTCTTTAAAATTCAGTGAAAAAACTATTATTTGTAAAGAGATTGTTCCAATTCCTTATGCGGGTAAAGAGCTCATCTTCATCGTCAATATCTGCAAAGGATTTACTGCGCATGTTAATATGACTAAACAAAATCCTGACCCTTTAAATCGAACTAGATCCATCTTCAAGGGAAATTCTGCAACCTGGTGCAAGGGAAACAAGGGAAACCTGGTGCAAATATATGGAAGGAGTTTGTTCCAAACTCCATCTGTCTTTTGTCGAAGCTCAGACTATGGCACAGGATCGGGAACGTTGGAAGTTCTGTCTAACGCGTCTGCCTCCGCAACCCGAAAGGAGAAGCGGGGATGGAAGATGAAGATGAAGATGATGTCAGGAGAGAAACTATTGTCATATGAAGATATACTCCTAACAGCCTCGTCTGTTTAATTTATCATGTAGTAAAAAGCCTGCTTAATTTTCTGTCCTCTATTCACTATTTTTAATGAATAACGGTTGGAATAGTGTGTGTATGACATGCTGGCTATGAGTCGCATAAATCCTGTGCCAGGTTCTACCCTACTACTATTATTTGTTGAGAAAAGTCAGAAAACAATT